GGGGGGGGGGGGGAATGGAGCAGTGTTTCCTTTAGAGACTTACCAGGTAACCCTTTGTAAGGAAATACGGTTTAACAGTGAGCAAAAGAAGAGATTGACCAGAAGGGCTGTGATTAGCAGATTCTTCATTGGGAAAAGCCTTTCTTGATGACATGATGATGGGATTTGGTTTGACTGTTACATAGTTAATCATAAACAAATCGATGTCAAAAAATCAAATATGACTTAAAGATTACAATCAAAGTATGAATAGCTTATATACATGTACCCCATCTTTTGGCTAATTCTTAATCTAAAAATAAATTGAAAGTTGAAAGTTATTTTAAGGTCAAGTGAATTAACTTGCAAATTCATCAAGTATAAACTAATTGTACTACAATACGTAGAAATTGATTACTAGTGTGATGCCATTTATGTTCATTTCAATTTTCAGTAAACTCCTGTTTTTAGTTCTAATTCCCTCTGTAAGATCATAAACTACTGCATTGTACTCATATCACCAGTATATCTCCAGAAAGGTCGAGAACTAAACTGCATCTGTGATGGACTCTAAAGATCTTTACCTTTGAAATCAAATTTCCGACTGTTTTGTTGGGTAATTTTTTTTATAAGTGTAGTTGTTTATGAAGAACATGTTTTACTGTATGGACAACCAAATACTGAATACTCCTTTTTTGGATAACCGTAGTGTTCGGGCCAGCTTGCGCACACCTCAACTACTTTCACGGAATACGTGCTACCTCCCACCAGCAGCAAAAGTCAGGTAACTCTATCCACCAAGGCTTGGACAGATAGGAAGAAATCACCTAGTTTTTTTTTGCCTTTATTGGGATTTGAACCTGAGACCCCATGGTTCTCAACTCACTTCATTGACCAATACGCCACACCCTTGGATGTATTACTAAATAATTTTATTAAAGATGTAATATAGTTTCATGGTGTATATAACCAAGTAAAAAGATCGTTGAAAAATAAGAGGTTGCTTAAATGAGAAAACTTACCATGAAATTGCCATATTGGTTTTTCTCCATTATTAACAACCTCAAACATTATGCACTCTCCCACCTTTAAGTCGTTTGCAACAATGAATTCTTTCCATCTGCCTACAATACAGACTCGAGAACGATAGGTAGCTAGCCTTAAATTCCATGGCCTTTGACTTTCGTCTCTAATAATCAAACCACAATTCTTGTTGGTGAGACTGTTTGCCAACGCAAATTGCTTAGGAAGGAACTGAAATGGTTTATAACAATTTGCACATATCATCAAACATTCATATGCTTCATCTTTTCGTTGTATATAACTCCAATAAACAAAGAGAGAGAGAAAAAGAAAATGGTGCACGTGTATCCTTTAGCCCGAAGATTTTGAAGGTTAGGAGGAAATAATTATAAGACTTACCAAGTAACCATTGGAAACCCAATAGGATCTAACTGTGCATTCAAAAAGAGATTGACCAAAATTAGCTTCTTCTCCTTGTTCCTCTTCCCCTCCTCGTCCTTCCTCCTCTTCTTCTTCTTCTTCTTGCAGATTCTCTGCATATTCTCTGTCACAGTGACTTGAATCAAAGATGACAACCTCAAACTCCATGTTTCCGTCATGTCTGAACACCAACATATCTCCCAATTGCAGATCATGCTCCTCTGCAAACTTCTCCCAACCTTCTTCTAGTCGACGGCCGTTCACCTTCACCTGCCACTTCTTACCAGCCCTTTTTAGTACGGCATGTTCATGCTCGTGTCCCGTCAGATACTTCAAGAAACCTACTGGAATATTCTGCAGTACAACATAACATTTGGTTCGGAGAGAAGTTACGTAGGGTAGTAATAGTATAGGGATTGCAATGTAGGAATTATAATGTTGGGATTAATAATGCGGAGAATGTAATGCGGGGATTAATAAAATGGATTAATTATAATACGAGTAAAATATGTGTTTTGATTACTTTAAAATGCTTAACACAACTACGCGTTAGTCCACCTTAGTTGTTTTACTCCATGTATTAATCCTCATATTCTTATTACACCTTCTATCCCGTATAAAATAATACATAGATTCCTGCATAACTTAAGCATACATTGTTTATGCTTGCAATAAGAATGATAACCAAACACCGTATTGCTCGTGCTGAAATTTATGCAAGCATCAAATTAGTAACCAGACATTGTATAGTTAGAGTTGGATATAATGTAGGCAACCAAACTACCCCTCGTATTAGCCCCGTTCCAAATCATTATGTTGTTTTGTTTATGACATGAAACAGATAGAGACTACCTAACAAGTTAAGCAAGTAAAAAAATGTTCATAATGGTTTTTGAGTTTTTAGTGTTTTTCTTTTTCTGGGATAAATTCTTCAACCTCGAAGCCATACATACATATAGAGTGTGTTTCATATGACTGGAAAATGTTTTTCTGGAGTTTGGTTGGTGAATAGAGTTACTCCATATATTAAGGATTAGTAATAATATCAGCAAATTGGTGAGTAGCATTAGTTTATCTTCTATTTTACAACAACAACAACAACAACAACAACAACAACTCAGTATAATCCGACTTAGTAGGGTCTGGGGAGGTAGTATGTACGCAGACCTTACCGTTACCCTAGGGTAGAGAGGTTGTTTCCAAATAGACCCCGGGCAGTTTATCTTCTATTTTATGAGGGAGAAATTCGTTTGGGACTACCCTTAGGACCAAGAGCGAAGTGCACCGGTAGCCACTTTTAAATCTGTTGTTTAAAATATATCCATAATTTACAATGTATTTAAAGATTAGTCAATTAACCCAAACTTGGACTAAGTATTCTGAATTTTTATATCTTGAATTTTTAGCTGCTAATTTGGAATTCAGTAATGTCCTAAATTAATTTTTGAGCTGCTAAGTGTCCGAATTTCTGCACTGCTAGTTAAACTTCACGAAATAAAATTCAAAGTTTTTGGATACACTCTTGAACTTTAGGACACAATGTCCTGAAGCTTGGAACTTTGAGAATGGCTACCGAGTGTTCATTCTACTAGGACCGCAGCCTCCGAAATTCTCGTGATAATGGCCCCGCCTATGGGGCCGACTGGACCCTGTGACCTAAGTCACAAGTCCCTCAACATTTACATTTGCATTTGAACTAAGTTAAAAGTTAGGGTTGTTGTAAGGAAAATGACTTACCCTCTCCTTTTGAGATAAAAATGATTTTCATGGAAATGACCTGTTCATTTAAAACATTTTCCGTGGAGTCATTTACCCTTGTACCAAACACATACACATAAAGAGGGTTACTTAGACTCACCAGACCCTGCTTGAAACCTGGCTGAATGGGTTTGAAAAAGTGAGGCTTCACTGGACGGACTTTCATGGCCGCCAAGTCAAACAAATGCAGTTAGTATAGTCAAAGTATCTTTTCTACTTTGATAGTCAAACAAATGCAGTACGGTACTGGTATTTGTATGAGCGAATTTGTCTTCTGAGCGTGATATTAGGAAAGACGAGAGGAGTAAAAAGGCGGAACTAAATCCCTAATTTATATAGGAATGACAAAATGCCCCACTGTAATTAGGACAAAGATAAAAAAGGATAGAAAATGAAATCAGCAAATGCGCGTGGCTGGTTTATCAAGAAGGTGTTTAGCTAAACTTACAAGCTCGTCAAACTGGTTTATAAGTATTTTTTGACTTATTTACGTATTTGATAAATTAAAAGTAATTATAAGTTAAGTGATTATCTATATTATATTAAAAGCATGAAGGCCTTTAGCGAAATGTGTTCGCCTTGTTTATTCTTCGTAAACAGATTTTACACTGGACAAAATTGTCATTCAATTATTATTTTTATAAATTAGGAGTTTAAAATCAACTAAAATTTTGGTCATTAAATATTTTCCTATTTGAACTCTCTCGCAATTCCTAATATTTAGGAGTTTAAAATATTATATTATTCTTTATAAAAATTCTTCCTTGTTTTAAAACTTTTACTTATTAGAAAAGCTGCATTTATAAAATTACAAAACCTTGAATAATTGGAAGTCCATGTAGAATACAATTCCTTCACTATATTATGTTATTAGAATACTTTTAGTTGGGGCCGAGAAAAATTTGTTTATATATTTGGTTAATTTTTAATTCTCTTCTTTTAATTTTGNATATATATATATATATATTAAAAACAAGAACTCCTTAATTGAAAAGTTAAATTACTTTAATACCCCTCTTATTTTTATACCCTATTTAATTTAATTAGTATTCGTACCCACGCATTGCGCGAAGAATAATAAATATAATTTGCATAAGAAAATATAACATGATAATACGGTAGATACAAGGGAGCATGAAAATGTTATTATTTTTGGAACATGTAACTGTAATTGATATTCCTACAATGAAGTCATAAGAACACACAATAAAGAAACATACAATTATTTCATGAAGTCCAATAATATTCTTTATAGCCTCGAAAAAGCAAGCCATGTATATCAGCTAAAGTGCCACAAACAAAGGTTTCTAATACCCTGAAAATTCAGAAAAACGACAAAGCCATAGTCTTTCAAGATTGAAAAAATTAGACTCATACAGGAAAATAATTATTTCCCACTTGCTCAACCTTGACATCCACAATGTACATACTTTATTACAACAACTTTCTTAAGGTACGTGGGACACGATATGCATAAGTAGTTGCAAAATTGTGATCCCGAGGTTGTATGCAGTGCAAGCAGCAGAGATGCTCATATCCAGGCTGCATGTCAAAATACAGGAAATAGGAAAGAATTGAATATAAGAAATAAACAGATTTTGTAAGTTGTGGAGGATGTTGGATTCAAACACCTTCTTCAACCTTTCAATCAGGTTGCAATCTGCATAATGTTGTTCCAAATAGACCTCATACGCTCTTTTAGATATTTCATTTCTTCCATATTAAAGGTCAAACGTATTTGCCCCTCTGATATGCAATCATGAATATGGGCCAGAATGCTTCACACTTTCTTTTACCATCATTACGGTCATTGCAAATTTTCAAAACCCAAAAAATAGAAGTTAAGGTCTGGATATTTTAATCAACAATGTAAGACAAAAAATATCACTCAGTTTCACCTTGCATCAAATTACCCACCTTCTCTCATTCAAGCATCCAAATCATGTAGGATAGGCTGAATCAACTACCAACCCTCGGGTATTTATATGTTTTTTCTTGACCCTAGGTACTTTTTTCAGCTGCAAATTAAAAAAAAACTTATTTCATGCGCAAGAAGATGAACAGAGTAGTAACAGTTCCCGTACCCACTACATGCACATAAATATAATTTTATAGGTAAGTTAAGATTCTATAGTCAGTAACCAGCACCTTCTGGGTTTCTGTTACTACAAAAGTACATATTTTATACATAAGCATTTGAATGTTTCCATCAAGGATAGAGTTTTATCCTAAAATATCTATGGTTCTTTTGAATCCAGACTACCCTATAATTACACAAAGGAGTGATATTGGTAGGCTTTCTCTGGCTCTTCTTAAACCTCTGCCTCTGCCACCTACTTAAACCTGATTAAGGGGGATGGTATAATAAGATGTAATTATTTATACAACTCTAGAATTATGATCAGTAATTTCAATAGCTTATAAAGCTACCAATAATAGTAGCTTCTTAACTACTCATAAGAGGAAAAGAATATAGAACCATAAAAGAGATATTGATGTTATAGAAATACAACATCCACACCCTTCACCGAATAAAGAAAATGACATAAGTAATTGCATAGTTACCTTGCCATAATACTCTTTTCTAGATTGAACATCTCGAGCACTATAAGTCGGAGTATGAGCAGTTGATTTTGGCCTTGAATACATCAGGGTCGGCAATAATTGCAGGAGGAAAACTATGACTACCTTATTCTTTTCTAGTGTAGAAATATAAATATATTCAAATCGGCAGAATAGCATCAAACTTTGAGTATCCAATATCATATATCCTTGAGGGAGGAGCTACTCTTTCATCAATAAGGGTATTCTGCAACTTATTAATTTTTACTACCAGTATAGTACAATGGAGATAAAAGTGTCTAAAAGGAAAAAGATTGTAGTTCTCACATACTTAGTATGTCGCCTGAAATGACAACAAAATCAAACCAAATGATAGAAGTATTGCACATAGGGAACTAATGATTTGAAAAAACATAAAAATTGTGGTCTTTTATAATCATATAATGGTGACAAAAGGCTTCAAATACCATTTTATTATCCTTCATAATAGTAGTATATGAGAAAAATGATTATTGACAAAATAAAAAAGAAATATACTTCATATTCGCTGAAGCTTTCTGCATTGAAAATGCACCTAACAGATTTTTGCCAACTTCGTATTCAATAACAATGGCAAGATAAATGAGAGTTAATATCATATGTATCGCACAAAGCAAAAGAAAAATAGTTAGGCAAACAAATCGTTAGCTTTTTCTTGCCATTATCAAAATAAACCAACTTAAATATAACAGTGCCATCAAAATTAACAATATATAAGATCAGAAAATAGTCTCATTGAAACAAAAAAAAATTGGTGAATAATGATCTCCCTTGCTACATTCTCATCAGTCTACAACAAATGGTGACATATAACTTTTTCAAAGATTCAATGACGCGAAGTGTACAATATTCATCTAATGTAATAAAACCAAAGTAATTACACAAACCTAAAATTAGGCACCTTGATACATTAGTGGTCCGCCTGTATATTATGCAAGTCCATGAAATAATAGAGTATATGTTAAAACATTCCTAAATTATTGAATATAACATGGATATAATATATGAGCAACATTCTAGTAGCACATGAAGAACCAATCACCAGAGAAGCCAACAGTATTATCAAAGCCGAAAAGCGCAAAAAAGCTCTAAGTTCTGTTGGGGATTTAAGCTCAAAGTGCAAATGGAGAAAAATCACAAATCTGTATGTGTGGTCCAAGACTAATATTTATAAGAAAGAATACCAAATATATGGACTAAGAAATTGAAGAAAATTTAAAGCCAGTAACCATTCCCAAAGGTAAGTTTAAAAGAATGAAGGGGCTTATTTAAATTATGATTTGTTTGTACTTCCAAGTTACTTCGAAGAACAAATAATGGTATACACTTGTTTTACTATGAATAACACGTGCCTTTGATTAGTTAAATTGTTTATAATCTATTAATTAATTTAAACATATAACTTAAGAGCTTACAATACTACCATTTAACTAATAGAAAGATAAGGCATGGAAAATTCCTCTTTCAGCCTTAAGTTTCACCAGTTAAAATACCATATGACTTGTAGATACATAAGTATCACTATAATTTTTAATAGTACTATAACAACATAGCTATTATTTTTGGATAGTACTATTTAACATAAAGAATTTTCTGAAGCACCACCACAAAAATAAAAATCACGCATAACTATAGTTTTTCATTTTTAACAAACATCTACTACTTAAAAAATTGAACAGAAGCAAAAATAGCGCAACAAATAATAATTTTAATTTAACGATATTACAAATTATTCTCTAGCTAGTCCTTGAAGTGTAGGAGGTATGAGTATTTAACTTTATAACCTCATTATTTATGTGGAGCGCCAGTACAACGATGCACAAGTTTGACATCTTTAAATTGTAACAATAAGTTATAATAATATGCATTAGGTATTTATCAACGACTCATGTTATATAAATTGTGACAACCCGGCCGGTCGTCTTAAGAATTAATGTCCCGATCCCCTATTAACTGCTTTTCCCGAGTTTATTTTTGCTATTTTAATTTGCTGGGACGTTCGGTTTTGAGTTTTAGAGAGTTTTGAGACACTTAGTCCCTAAATGAGAGCTTAAGTGTTGGAAAGTTGACCGTAGTCGGAACAGTGTGAAGACGACCTCGGAATGGAAATTCGATGGTTCTGTTAGCTCCGTTGGGTGATTTTAGGCTTAGAGGCATGTTCGGATTGTGTTTTAGAGGTCCGTAACTAATTTAGGCTTGAAATGCCGAAAGTTGAATTTTTGAAGTTTCTGGTTAGATTGTGAGATTTTGATCTGAGGGTTGGAATGGAATTCCTAAAGTTGGAGTAGCTCCGTAGTGTTTAATGTGACGTGTGTGCAAAATTTCAGGTCATTCAGACGATGTTTGATAGACTTTTTGATCGAAAGTGTATTTTTAGAGTTTTTGGATTTCTTAGGCTTGAATCCGATGAAAAATAGGTGTTTTATTGTTGTTTTGAGCATTCCGAAGGTTGAGACAAGTTTGAACGATGTTTTAGGATTGGTTGGAAGGTTTGGTTGAGGTCCCGGGTGCCACACCTCCTTTTTCCGCACCCGAGGGGCGCGAGGGGAGTTTCTTCCAATTAAAGGACAATCGAGACGGGATTGATTTAATTATTTCAGAGTCGCCACTTGGGAGATTTAGGGCGTCCCAAGTCACCAATTTTAATCC